GTAATGGATATGCTCTGTATAAGGGTTGGGGGTTTTGATACAAACACATGTACGCGTGCATCAGAAACAAGAACCTCCTTCGCTTATTAGAACTGCTTGGTCAGCCCTGGTCGTTGACCTAAAATAACTCTCTGGCTTCCAAGAGTCCTTTTTTATGAATGCTTGTCTTTTACCTTCCTCCTTAGTCACTGCTGTACTTTGAGGAAGCAAAGCTCAAATGAAGAAGTGATGCTTGATGAAATTCAAAAGTGGAGATCATGAGTCATGTGACCTCCACTAAATGTTTAGGTCCACTTTCTGGGGTTTAGCTTTGAATGGAAATTCCACCACCACCATGGCCCCGTTGTGGGACGAATAACTGATTGTTCTCATCCAGCCTACTTTGTATTTTTTCTTCAGTGGGGTTATTATGTGGATTGGAATGAATGCCTGGGAAGGCTGTGGTTAAGTGTGTGAATGGTCTAAATTTAAGTAAATTGTTTTATATTTATTAATACTTTCAATTTTGCTTTTACTTTATTCCTATTTCCCACCACAGTTTGTGATAATACTGACATAAACACACTTAATGGTTAAAAGCAATCATCCAAGGGCAACTGTTAGGACATTTTAACCTTGTTGCATAAGATCCAAATGTTTTTTTTACTTCTTTATCTTGAGCTCAAGTGCAATCTTATTATGTTTAAACAGAATGTTTCCAATTCCAAACAGTTTTAGCTCCCATGTGTCAGCATTTATGATGATAAAGTACCAATTTTAATGTAACAAWAATGTTATTTGCATTTAAAGTTTTGTAAATGCTTAAACAAATTGTCTAAAGATTTGCTTGCCTCTCRGCCTCTCAGTGCTTCATTACTGCACATTTTATCAAAGATACATATTATTCATGTTTTGGGCCATGTTAACAGCTAAATCCCCAAGTAGTTGTGACTTTACATTGAGTTTAAGTGTCAAAATAAAGAACACACCACAGAAAAACATAAATATTTTCACTAAATATAGTTTCATGTTCACTAAAAAACATTTTTGTTTTTCCCTCTCAGACGGCAAAGCGGAGTGAACCTCCAGGTGTGTTTTGTTAACGACAGCAGCAGTGACAAAGACAGTGATGCAGAGGACAGCAGGACAGAGACCAGTTTGGACACACCGCTGTCTCCTGTGGTATGAACCTACAGAAACTATGTGGCTTCTCTGTCGTGTCAAACTGCTTTTATGTGTCATAACCACATGCGAAAAACCACACAGGCTGTTGCAACATGACACAAGTCATCTTTACTCCTTCCACAGAGCAAGCAGAGCTCATCGTTGTCGGACCGGGACACTGCAGAGGAGGACTCGGATCTGTTGGATGACTGCAGCGGGTTTTGGAGGGTGCAGCGGAGGCTGCAGGAGGAGGCCCGGGTGGCGCTGGCTCTGGCTCAACCCATGGCCCGCATGCAGGTGGAGGTGGAGAGGCAAATTCAGCTGCACAAACGTTCTCCTGTGGCTGACCTGGTTAGTCAAAAAGAAAGGAGAAAGTTGATTTAAATGAAGCACGTACGTAGTTTTTTTTCATGTAAAATGCAATGTGAGGTGAGGGGAAAGAAAGACAACCAAAGATCTGTTCCAAATTGAGAGAGGAAATAAAGTGCATTTACTGTAAACACAACAAAAGCAACATAAGGGACTTGCAGAGCCACAATAAAAGGTCAATAGTGTGACGTGTGTGTGTGTGTGTGTGTGTGTGTGTGTGTGTGTGTGTGTGTG